ACATAATGTGGTCCTACATTTAGCATGCTTCTTAGCGTGAAGAGGGCATTTGACTCGGTTCATCTAGAAGTGTTTGATTATATGTAGGGTCCTGAGAAATATTATGGAACTCAAAGCAATCTACACATATACGATCTCATCGAGGTGGCGTGTTTCGCCAATGCTAAATGGCATGATTTTTAACTAAATTGTAGAATGTAGTGATAGATATGACTTTCACTTAACAAAAATTGAGATTTTCCCACAAGAAGGTCTTATTGTCTCGGAGTAGGCGAGTGGTATAGTTCTCTGACTCTGCGTCGGTGGTACAGCGATAGGATGCTCGTCAACCACACATGTGGTTCGGGGTTTGATCCCAGGCTGCCAACGCACTCCTTTGCCTCGCTAAGCCAGTAATATAACTGGCAAAGAGGGAAGGTTGGGCATGAGGCTAGCAAACCCATCCTGTAAAAATAAACATCATTGATCCTTTGGGAGCGTAAAGGAAAAAAGTAGCTCTTTAACACTGTTAAAATGTAGAGTGTTTTCAACCACCGCAGCAATAATCTACATACTGTAGACATGCGGTTCATCTCCTTCAAATACCAGATAATGCTAGAGGATGAGTCTGCACTGATTCCTACTTTAGAGATTAAAAGAACGAGATATTTGAATGTGTTATTAACCGACTCTCTGATTCAGGATGTTACCTCGGTACTTGTGAACTGGTTGCTAACTGAAAATCTTGGCATGGATAGGAAAGATTCTAGATATAGCGCCAATATCATCTATGAGACAGCCGTCTTGGTGAAGTAGATAGAATAGCTAGCTATTCAATACTTTCAAGTTTTCAATGGCTATATAAATGCTATATATTCATTTATGGTGAAAACTAGATTTCTAAACAAATTTTCATTTAGTTATCATAAAATGCATAAAAATCTTCCTCCATTTTTTTTCTCTCTCTATTCACTTTATTCATTGAATTCATAGTTTTGTTATTCAGTCAGGTATTTATGTTATTAGGAAAACTTACGTGTTGTATTCATATTTTATATGAGAAGTTACTACTTTTGTTAGTCTCTTACAGTGTTAAATTGACATACAATACTAATAATAATAACAACAAACTGATAGTAATAAAGACAAAGAATAATCACAGTTTATGCATGTAATGCCTTCTATAAACCTATGAACACATTTCCACATATATACACACCAATATTTTGTCTTTCAATATGTGTATATGCATCTGTCTGTGGATGTGGGTGTTATTCATTGAAAAAGCAGAGGAAAGCGTTTTTCTTTATATCTATACATATACTATAGAAGAAGACAATTTTAAATTCTGTCTTTTATACAATCACATCGCTGCGATATAATGATCATGTTCAATGTCTTCAATAGGCTAAAGTCATTTATCAGATAATTTGTATACTTTTTTTTAAAAATATATTGAAAGACAAAAAAGGGAAAAAGTCTAATTCCCCACTTGTGATTAGCATTACTGACTGACTGACTGACTGTTGTTACCTTTCCTTTTCACATACATCTTTTCAAGTGGGAGTATGATGCTTATTATTATTATTGAATAAGCGCATCTGTCCAGGTGGTTTGAATGATAATAATGCACGATAATAGCATGTATTACTTTCTCCCTCTCTCTCTCCTCTCTCGGCGAAGTGAGCAGAATACTCACGTCTTATATAGCTGGTCGGGCAACGAAAGAAATCAATAAATCTACAGTTACCTAAAGTTTTTATCAAAACCTTCTTCTTATATTTAAAAGAAGAAAGATAAAACAATTTATCACAGTTAAGTGAATAATGTTTAATTCCAGTGAGAAAAGAAAAAAGAGCTTTACTATGTTTTGAATGTATTAAGCTATTCTGCTCTGAAAATAATTTTGAAAACAAAGTGGAGTTTGAAATAATAGGGAATAATTTACAGTTTCATCTGATTCGTGCTTTAATAAAAAATATTCTTCGAATTATCATTATTATTATTCCCTTGCGTTCCGAGTGGAACATAGGGCTTCAACAACACATCTCCGCTGTGTTCTGTTTTCTGCCGTCCTCGTCAGCTGGGTCCACGATTGACCTAACTCTCTCATCTCTTCCTTGCCACACGATCTCCATGTCACCCTCGCACTAACGACCCACTAGTCGCTTCCCATTTAGATTCCACTCGAGGGTCTGGCGTTCGATGTCATTCGGCTGCCTCTTCAATGTATGCCTGATCCATCTCCACTTTCTCCTACATATTTGTTGAGCTATCGACTCTTGGTTGGTTTGATCCTGCAGTTTCTTGTTGCTTATTCTTTGTGGCCATTCGGTCTTCAGTATGAAGCGAAGGTAGCAGGTGTTGATGAAAGTCTGCAATTGGCTGTTGGAAATCCTTTTCGTAATACACTAGCCAAGTTTCTGACCCGTATAAAAGATCCGACTTGACATTGGTGTTGAAAATGCGAATCTTGTTCCTTATGTGGAGTGAGGAAGATTTCCAAACTGGTTTCAGATTGATGAAGGCTTATCTTGTCTTTCCGAATTGATAGTTCACAATTACTCATGAGAATGTATTATTTATTTCGTTCAGAGTGAAACCTTAGAATTTAAACTTCATATCTCCATCCTCACTACCTTTGAGTGCAATCATTGAGAAGATACAGGCTGATAGCTGTTTATTCATACAGTTAAATTAAACAGTTTTTATTGTTATATAAATCTATTGTACATATGCCTTATAGTTACTCATTATCAAACCTTAAACAGGTGATGGGATCGAACTAGATACCTTCTGGTTAAGAGGCCAAGCTTGTTTGCCATTCAGCTATTTGAGCCGGAATTCAGTGACCCGTGAAGTCTAATTTCTGTCTTTTCACAATTTTAACGTGACTGCCAGCCAATATCATAAGCGAGTATTTCTTTTCACACATAACCTGATGGACCCCACTGGTCACAACTTCTCGCTAGAACTTCAGGCAACTTCGTCTTGTAGTCAGTCACTAGTGAACATCAGATCGCGAACTGACAGAAGTTAAAACTCACGGACCACTGAACTCCTGCTCAAGTAGCCGAATGGTCAACGAGCCAGGTTTTGTAATCTATAGGTCCCGGGTGGAGTTGTGGGTGCGTACCACTGAAGAGTCTCAAACTAGGTCCCTTTCTCCCTGTCTCTCAATGGTCCTCTAGCTGATATCAATCCGTGGTCAAACTTGAAATAATAGTATTGTTTTTACGAAGGATGAGGCTAATTAGGTACCTTACTTCTCGTAGAATAACCAGTGGAACTTTCTAAAATTAACGACAGTAGATAATAATGACCACGTCAATCTATCGTAATAAATTGTCCTAGCTTAGCTGACCAGAATATTTATTTCCTGTGATAATATATCAGACAAGTTAGAGATATATCGGTAACCTATTTCATGTATAAGACAGAAGTTTTACCAGCATTTCTATTAACAGTGTCCTCTTGTTGTCAGAAGGTTTGATAATAAAATATCAACAGCTATCAAAGCTCGCCTTCATTGATACACTTATCTTACAGATATTAAATCCTCTGAAAAATAGAACCAAACAAATGTGTAGCTAAAGAAGATTTACTTGAAAATTTCACGTATCATAAATGATTGGGTTGTGTAATTATATTCATAAACCAAAGTCTTCTTTCCTACCATCAGGTATGTTTTAAGCAGGTCGGCATACTTCAGCTATCTAGTGTTCTCATCTTCAGCACTACTCTATTTCTTTCCTTCTATTTCAATAAATAAAGCTTGAGAATTCGAATTTGTAGAATAAATGGGCATCAACTAAAGCACATCTCTAAATAACAAAATATTTGAGCAAAGAATATCCTTTTCGATAACTTCCTCTTCTGGCTTTACAATTATATATATATATATATATATATATATATATATATATATATATATATATGCTTAGATGCATAGAATATTCTAGAATAGTAGTCAATATCAATATTAGTGCCTTTTAAATAATATCAATTCGTTAAGTAAGATCAGTGGTATAACAGTTCATTAAAAACGCATAAATCATAATAAGCATACAAATATAATGGCAAATATAATATCAAGTAAATTTAAGGAAAGTTCTACAAAAAATTGAGGTAAGGACAATGTCTGAACCAGCTTCTTTCAGATACACAAGTTAGGCTTCTTAATGTGGATTCCAACGGCCTCAGCAATATTTAGTAAACGAACTCTTAAGGCGAAGTTAAGATTTGTTGGTTGGTATGCGGTAAATGACTATGAAAGCCGCATCGTTGACATCAATTATGTGTTCTGTATCCACAAGATGAGATAGAATGGTGCTACGAATAGATTTTCTTTGTCCTTTACTTAACCACACTGGGTGATATTCGGAAATTTGACGATAAACACGCCTAATTGTATGGCCTATGTAACTAACTGGCTGCTCAGGTGCAGTTAAACTGGTAGATACATATGAAAGAGGCGAAATTAGGCAGTTTATCTTTTACTCCAAAACGCAAAATAGGGATGTTTTTGAAAACACAGTGTAGTTCAGCAGCAGGGAATGCTCTTTTTACTACATTTCTAAGGCGCTGTGTTAGTATCTCGCTAATGTTATCCCCAAGGACCTAAATTTGTAAGAATAAGGCCTTATTAGGGACTGCTGGTACCTTGGGCTGCCTTGATTTTTTAATTCATATTCTTATCACTCTGCAGCCGTCTAATATTATTAAGTTCCTCATCAAGACATTCATCCGAGCAGATTGCTCTTGCTCTGTGACCCAAGCACTACTATTATAGAATATTATATGTATATAAGCATATATATATATAATTGTAGAGCCAGAAAAGGAAATTATCGAAAAGGATATTCTCTGCTCAATTATTTTGTTTTGTTTTATATAGCACATCTTTCTCGAATATTCTTTTAGAATAAAACTTTGAAAAAAATATAATAAGGTAAAAGAAATTCACTCATAAAAGTGTTTATATTGTTACAATCATTTTTTATTCTTACACTGGAAAGGATTCAGTCATCATATGCATAGAATATTTGATTCAAATTTGTTTCAGGGTATTGTTCATTGATATTTCTTGACAAGGAATTAAGTTCCCCATCATTTATTATCTCTTTTTCATTATTACTGTTATTATTATTATTATCATTATTATTATTACAACAATGAATACTAATGCCATTACTGTTATTATTATTATTATTATTATATTATTATTATCGTCAGTATTAATCCAATGACTGTTAGTTGCATTATTTAAAAATTGTTGAATAGGATTCATTCCTAATTTCTGATAAGAATGATTCAATAGCATTGACTGATTACAATCCACTTGACTATTTGTAGGAATCATTTTATAATTGGATAAAGAAGTTGATTGATCATCATATTGTTGATTAAATTTATAAGGCGATGAAGATGTTGATGCTGAAGACGCTGGCGTTGATGACGATGGGGATCGGGATGACGACGAAGAACATGAGGATGACGAGGATGATATGAAAGTTGTTGTTTCATATTGATTATGACTATCAGAATTTCTAAAATTTTCATTTCCATTTGATTTGATTTTATGGCATGTATAATAGGGTTGATTATCAATGATGTTTGTGTTATTATAGATGTTCACAAGACAATCATCTAATCTATTGAAACCAACAGATAATGAAGACAGGACATTCCAAGAATTTAACCTACATTGTCGCCATTATTTAAATAGAAAAGAAGAATGTGTGAAAGAACAGTGGTTTAAGTGAAATCGATATTAAAATGCTCATTGGGATATTAACCTTATTACTGATATATCTTATGTAAGGTTATCTGTGAAACTTGAGATGATTTATATTCCCTTTGAAATTCAGATCATTACTCATTATCATTAATACTGTAGAATTTTGTTCATGAATATCCTTCTGTAAAACTGGTTTCAGTAGTCTGGTGATTCAGCAGTAGGATGTTCTCCTGACACTCAGGAAGTTAGGGTTCGGTTCCCAGCCGATGCACTCCTAAGCCCCACCTAGTTTGTCAGCTTTTAGTAAACTTAGAATTGGGAAGTTTGGCCGTGAAACTAGCGACTTCATCCTACTTAAAAAAAAAATTACCACTACTGAATCTTCAAAGCCTGAAGCTTGAAGTCCTATGTTCTATTAGGAATTCAAGGAATATAAAAAAAAGACTAGTTTGTGGTTAAACAGTCAGCTGACAGATCTCAAATAACAGTTAAGTTACCATTCACTGACAAGGTGATATAACAGAAGCATATCTTTTAATTTTCGGACATTGTGGCGTGTATTTCAAGAGAAATAAAATCAATAGTATTATGTGATGTGCATAAGAAACATACCAACGGATTTATTAAAATCTTGATACCCATGTTAATTTGCGCAAATTAACTATCCAGTTCAGAGAACACAACTACATCAAAAAGATCAGAAGATGTTCTACTAAAGTACTCCTTTATTACAGTTAAGTGATTGGAAACAGTCAGTTGAAAACTCTGAATTCAAACTTTTTTCTTGTTTCCATTTGTCAGTTAGACATTTCTTCAGCCTCGAGATAAATCAGGACTTAGTGGAAATCTAAAATCACATCACCTAGTGCTTTAATTAAAGATATTTCCACTTAGGTAATTGCACAGCAACTGAACTTCTTCGGCATTGGACTAAACATAATGACTGGTCACCAAAAAGCAAATAATTTCATGTTGTCTGGTCTCAAGCATAAATTATATTCTAATAATGAGTTCAACCCCAAATGACTGAAACAGAGGTCTGGTGTTTACATCAAGTCGACCTGGCAAGCAAGCGCCGCTGGCCAATGAGAGTGGTATCCAACTATTCATGTCAGTTACTTAGTAGTATACAATATAACATACTCATGTTTGCTTTCTTGATTACCATTTATGGTATTAAGCAGATGGCATAATATGATCTGAATAATTTTGGTGAAATTTCATCTCGATCAGTATAAATGCCAGATTGTGAATTTCATTAAACCGAATTCTGTCCAGTGATCCTTTTTTAATTCATGAATAATTCTCATACAGCTACTTCCAGAGAATTCATTTTCCCCTTTAATTGTACAATAGCACTTATATACGCTTTTTTTCGTCAAAGAGGGTAGTAACAAAAGTGGTGAGTTGTCATAATCATAGTTATTAATATTAATCAATGCACAAGAGCAGCCGAATAAGTGGATTTTTTATTCCTTTACGTTCCGAGTGGAACATAAGGCTTCAAGCTAGAGACTTGAAGTTTCAATAGCAGTGTTGTTTGTTTTTACGGGATGAGGTTACTAGCCTCATGCCCAACCTTCCCTCTTTACCAGTTTTATTACTGGCTTAGAGGGGTAAAGGAATGAGTTGGCGGCCGGGAATCGAACCTTGGACCACATGGGTGGTCGATGAGCACTCTACCTTTGTGCCACCGACGCACGAATAAGTGGATTAGAGTTGCTTAATAGGGCAAATAATCTAATGAATGAGTTTCAATCAGGATGCACATAGAAACGAAAAGAAACAAGGAATTACATAAGAGTTCTACAGAAATATAAGAGTTATAAGGAGCTGGGAGAACAAACAGACAAAAATCTAGTAGAAGTCAATAAGGCTGTTACTATGGTAATATAAGTGGTTGGACAAACTTTTTTTATATGCATAGCTCCAGCTTCTGTATCCGAATGACTAGAGCTTCAGCAGCACAAAGGAGACGAAAGTATACTGCCTTTGACAAATTATTCTTCATTAGGTGTTTTTTATGATGGCGTGACCAGTACTGACAAACAGAGAGCAACTGTTTTGTTTCAGTCTGAGTCGTTTCAGTAATACGCAGTCATGATGTCGCTAAGACTAAAAATGAATCAAATCTTAACAAATTTAAAATCTGAGTATTTGTTGTTTATCTTGAATTAAATTGACTGAATATTGATAGCTGAATCATTCTGCAATACTATTCAAATGCCTATTTAAAATTACCTACTTTTCCATAGTGCTTTCTATTATTGTAACTTTATCACTGTTACTTTTTACCGAAGTAGTTTACTACCACTCTTAACCTACTTTGGTAATTCTTATATGATTATATTACCAAGAGATTATTGTTAATTATTGTCCTTCTTATTCTTAAATCCCTTATCATTTCACTTTCACAAGTGATGAGAAAATACTTATGAGCCATGTGGTAGCCCCAGGTTTGATTCCCGGACGACGCACTCCTAGACCTCACCTAGCCGATAGTAACCCTGGAAAAGAATGAAGCTTGGGCATAAGTTTGGTAACTCCATCGTGTAAAATCAACATCATTGTTAATGAAACTTCACAGCTCAAGCCTGAAGCTCTGTGTTTCACTCGCAATGCAGAGGGGCGTAATATTAGTATATATATATATATATATATATATATATATATATATGACGTAATGGAAAGTTTGGGAATTAAGAGAAGCCGATGAATGCGTGGAAATGTGTGACAAGAACGAAGTGTTACGCAAACAAACAAATAAGTAAGTGGAAAAGACTAATAATGATGTTATTTTTAGGCTGTCACCAACTGGGAAACATCCATAATATAAAATGAACACTTTTTATCCCACAAATATATCTTTATTCCTTCTTTATCCAAACTGATCAAGACTGCCAGTTGTATGAAGTGAAATAAAAGTGGAAAATGAAGTGTTACTCAACAACTACTTCCAGTCCTATACATCTGACAGTGATCCACACCAATGTATCTTGTGAGATCTAGTGATACTGCTTGGTTATGTAAAAACTTTGGTAGATGGAGCGAGGTTTGAACTTGTGACCCGCTGATTGGATAGAAGTCAGGCGCTTAAACCAATGAATCACAGCTCCAAGATGAATGAAATACTTAATGATCGGTGTAAAATCAAAAATCTACTTACATATTATAGTTAGCTGTATCTGCCGTATTCATCATTGTAGTTGCATTCTGTGTCTTGTCAAGTTTACGGTGATCACTGCTGGTATTGTTGTTATTATTGTTGTATAAGTCATCAGCTTCTAGGTAAGAAACCTTATCAATATTACTTTCATTATTGTTGTTACTATTGTTATTACTGTCGTTACTGTGATAGATTTTTTGTTGAAATGTATTCAAATTATCTTCTGTTTTACTGATTGTTAACTCATTATTTATTCCTTGTTTATGAACTATTTGGAAGTTTTGCTGATTTTTAATATGATTCCTTTCTTCATTCTTTTTGTTATTATTATTATTATTGATTTTATTCATAGACAATAAATGTTTATTTCTCATAGTAGTATTCATATTGTTATTGTGTTTAACAGAATTACTATGAGACTGCTGTTGATGATGATGGTGATGATTATGATGGTGATTACGATAACGATTTTCATCAATAAATTTACGATTACGTCGCATTGATGAACCATTATTAAACATATCAATTGCTTTTGGATGTATTGTCCAATAAGAACCTTTACCTGATTCACCAGTTGGACGTGGAACTTTAATAAAACAATCATTAAATGATAAAGCATGTCGAATTGAATTTTGCCATCTAAAAAATAAATTGAACAAATACAAAAAATAGAGACAAGTAAAGTAAAACAAAAGTTTAATAGACACGAAAATTATATACATATACACGTATTCTGATTCTACGAAGTATTCGAATGATTTTTAGTTTGGGTGTCATCTTAAACCAACATCAATTACAAAATCTACAAAGATCTATTGCCATTATCGGAAACAGAGATGAAGCGCCTACTAATTCTTTGCAAAAAAGGCATCCACTTCAAATTCAATAACCAAATCTACCGACAAATTGATGGGATTGCCATGGGTTCACCAATAGGACCTTTTCTAGCGAACAGACCCGAGTGAGTAGCGCTAACAGTGAAACAGCATACTATAGTCGATAACTCGATGATACGTTTGTTGTTTGTAATGATATGAGTCAAGCATCCGTATTATTTGACCGCCTAAATGAGATCCACCCAAACATTAAATTCACCATGGAATATGAAAACAACGACGAGTTCAGTTTCCTGGACCTAAATTTAAAAAGAAGAAACGGTGGGACGGTTGAAAAGTTCATCTACAGAAAAGAAACCTGGACTGGGCATTATCTTCACTACAACAGCTTCTGTCCTATAATCTGTAAGCGGAGATTAGTAAGGACACTGTACGACAAAGCCAGGAAGTTATGTACGTCTAATAAGGTAGAAGAAGAATTAAGCTTTGTTGAAAAATACCTTAGGGAAAATGGGTATCCAAAAGGATTTATCCTAAAGTATAGCAAAGAAAAAGATCAGAAAGCAAAGAATCCAACAGTTGAAAAGAAGAAAGTTTTCATTTGCCTCCCATACAAAAAAGAAACAGTATCGCAAAAGATTGAAAAGAGGATGAAAGGAGCAGTAAAGAGATGCTTCTCTCCAGCTAAGCTAGTGACACTATACAACGCTATATGCTGCATAAACCAATCGAAACTGGATAAGTACCTTGCTGATGTTACTTCCAACTGTATTTATAAATTTACATGCACCTGCAGCAGCAAGTACATTGGAAGGACAGAAAGAAAGGCTTCTCTCCGGTTTTCAGAGCATATTCCAAGAAACTTATGCTTAAAAGGAAGCAGATAAAGTGCAGTTACCGGACACCTTGTGCATACGGGTCATTTTGTCGAGATTTCCAAATTCTTCAAAATATTAAACGTACAAAGGACAGAGAATCTACTACGATTTGCTGAAATAACTGCAATCAATCGTTTCAGACCAAACTTATACACACAGAAGGAAAGTGTAGTCAATCTCTCACTCCCTTGGTAACCACATTACTCTCATTACACTGACTAGTCATACACACTAGTAAGCTCAGCTCACTAAGCAGGTTCTCGATTCGATGAACTTCAACTTTCTTGAGTTGCCACGTTGACGTACAGGCTAATACTGTTTATTAGATTTTTCTGTCTTGCTGTCTTCTCTCACCTCCTCCACTTTTTTCATAGTTTGATGGCATATAAATTGATGGTAAGTTAAACAGAACTGTAATACTTATATTCCGGATGCGTTCATCTTACAATGTTTTCTTTATTACCTTTCGAACATTAAAGTATGAAATGTTATTATTTGTAACCATTATAATCTCAGGCAGTTTGCAGATGATGAGAACCTGTGAAATAGAATGATATCATTTTATACTTCAAATTTGGTCTTTCTTTCCCTATCGAAATTACAAAATCCTTGAAAACCATGAAGGATAAGATAGCTGTTTCATGCTTCAGCAGTACGCATCTACGACCCTATTAAGAGTTGGGTTTGACACCTTCAAGTTGCCAGGCAAACTCACCGACCATTCAGCCACCGAATTGGAATTCAGTGACCTGTGAATTTCAACTTCTGTCACTTCGTGGTACAGTGTTACAGGCTAACCTCGTAACCGGAAGGTTCTTGGTAGGATACCTTGTGGGATTATGGATGAACTCTGCTGTCCACCGCTCCTGGTTTTCAATGATTCTGTAGATGATACTAGTTCATGACAAAACCTATATATATACATATATGTTTCTGTTTGATCTTTAAAAATGCCATTAGAAAAACAAGGAATAAAATTGGTTATTACGATGTTGAGTTTATTGATACTCACAACGTCGAACATTGAATTCTGATGAAGTGGCTCAAAAAGCGCATAATTTAGTCATTTTGACCAATAAAAAAGAAAAGAGCTGAAGTGTTACTGTGGCCACGAGTTGTTTTTATCTAAATAACAGTCGAAAATTATATATATATATATATCTTAAATAAAGGATACCAAAATGTCCTCTAGTGAATAGTACTGAAGGACAGCTTGTGCTACCGACAAAATTTTGTAAGCAGTATATTGTATTATGTCTTCTCAAAGAATCTTGTATGGGGTAGTGATTAATTAAGTTGTAAATAAAAGAATTGAGGAAAATGTTGAAAAATATTTAAAATGCTAAATATTCCCATAATAAAATTAAGAACAAATATGTAGAAGAAAATGGAGATGGATCGGGAATATGTTGAGGAGGCCATTGAATGACATCGTGTACAATGCAGGCTATTGTTCGAGTAAAATCCCAATGGGAAGCGACGAGAGGGTTGTCGGTGCGAGGGTGACATGGAGATCGTGTGGCAAGGAGGAGATGACAGATTATGAGCAATCGTTGACCCAGCTGAAGAGGAGAGCAGAAAATAAAAGGAAGTGGAAATACTGAAGAGTCCCGAACTAGGACGAAACAGTTGTCCAGTACTCCCTGCAGGTTTTCCAATGGTTCTCTAACCAATGTCAGCTCATGATGAAATCCTGTAACCAGAGTGGAGATGTGTTGTTGAAGTCTTGTGTTTCACTCTGAACCAAGCGGAATAATAATAATAAAATTAAGAATAACACATGTAAACGAACAGTATTGTTTTCAGTTAGATCTCATCAACTTTAATATACAGAATTGTACAAATAAATATCGATAATAAACCAATTACGGTGATTTAACAATTGACAGGCATTTTACAAATTTATGTATATCATAAATATATTTTTTTTATGCCATTGTATGCAAAAAGAGTGTATCGCCAGTACAGTGGTAGAATGCTCTTCAGCCATGCGGGAGGTCGGTGTTTGGTTCCCTTATTCCTCACCTACTTTAATAGCCAACGGTAAGCCCAGAAAAGAGAGAAGCTTTAACATATCGCTACTGACCGCATCCCGTAAAAACAACACCACTAACGAAACTTTAGTGCTTGAATTCCTATATTAATAATAATAATAGCCTCAGTGGGAACATCATCACTCACTGAGAAATGCAGGTACATCCAGATGACGAGTCCCAAATAGGACGAAATGCGCATCCTGAATTCCACTGCTAGCCACCATCCACCAATCGTATACTACTAATAATAAGGCTTTATTTCGGCCAATATGTTCTCAGTGTATTCAGTTGCAAAAACATTTCCTCTTCATACAAGATCTACAAATAAAACAATAATTTGCAGCATTTTATGCAACGCAGTGTTGTTCCTTATTCCCAAAGATGCAGTCGCTCTACACTGTTTTTCCTCCAATTCGTTCCAAAACTGTAGAGAATTTTGATGAAAGCTGATTCAAAATATGCTGGAGTCCATGCAGGGATCAATGAGTATAACCGCATGCATAATACAGTAAGAAATGCACATGAGCATTAGCATTATGATGGATGGAAATTTGATAGCCCAGTAATGTAAGCAGACCACGATTCCACTCAGGAAGGAAATAATGAAAAAAAACCTAGTTATAGAAAACCCTCACTTTCAATTATAATGATAGTAGTTGTCGACTTATAACTCGAAATAACTCTTCATTTAGTTTTATTTACTATTGGGTTCCAGTCTCATTCATCAGGATACAAGGCAAATGCAAATGACTAATTCCAAACGCGCTTCCTAGTTTCCACTGCTAGTCACTGTTAGTTAAATAATTTTCCGTTCAGGTTCAATCATGAATTATCATGATTTAGAGAACCATTAAAATTCGGGGAATACTGAACAGTTGTTTCGTCCCGGTTCTGGACTCTTCGCCAGCACGCACCACTAGCAATCGAACCCAGGACCTTCAGGTTAGGAGGCGAGCCCATTGACCATTCAGCTACTGGAATGAAGTCAGATGACTGGCCTAAGAATACCAATCTCCGTGAATTAGCATTATGTAACGCGATGGCCATCCAATATCATCGGTAAGTACTTGTGTCCACATACGACTTGGTGGGCACCACTGGTCACACCTTTTCTCTAGAACTCCGGCAAATTCATCATGTAGTCAGCCATCAGTGAGTATCAAATTAATTTTCAGGTGTTGGTTCGCAAGTTTTTGAATGGTTTCAAGTTTGATCATGGATTAACCTCAGCGTACTTCTGAAGAGTTGTGAACTAGGACGAAACAGTTGTACATTATTTTCTGGTTTTCTGACTGATGATAGTTAGTGATCGAAATTAATTTTTCTCCTAAAAAGCATTACTTGAAAATAATTTTATGCCTACAACTAGCAGCTTAATACTAAATATACTCAACCGTTATGACAACTAGTGGACATTAGTCCTTTACCTGGCTAAGCCAGAAATAATTCTGGTAAAGAGGAAAGGTTGGGCATGAGGCTAGCAACCCCATCCTGTAAAAGAAACATTGCTACAGAAACTTCAAGCCACCAGCTTGAAGCCCTATGTTTCACTGGGGAACGTGAAGGAAAAAAACTGATTTGTGATTGATCAAATATTACTATAACATGAAAGGTTTCTAAACGATGTATACTTGTTATGAGAGAAAAGAGAGTGTAGAATTAGTAGATTTCTCGAAGAAAACAGTTTTCAAAATACAACACAACAGTTTCTGTTGAATTGGTGTACCAATGGGTAACTGATTGACACTTTCTACAAACCGATATGTTTCGCAGAAGACTAAGATTAACTGTTTTATTCCTTCTCTAGATTGAAAGTGTTCAGATCATCAAGAAAGCATATAACTATTCAGCTTATGGGTAACATTTTGAAAGTCATAAAGTAATACAGTTGTGAACTGACTTAATGAGTGAATGATAACGTGTTTACTGTAGTTGCACAACGCTAAAGAGATTCATACTTGGGCAGAATATTCATCCAAGTTCAAAAGGTTTACTTGGCGACTTTATAACTCATGTAAATTTATAAATGGAAACTATCCTTTCTTCTATCTAATCACTGCTGGCTTTATTGTATACAACAACCTTGTACCTGATATTAGCTACACTTTTTGAATAATTGTGAGAGGGTTAGAGGCAGTCGGCAGGATGTCTTAGACCTGAATTTTATACTTATTGACACCTGTCAGCAGGACTTACATGTAACCCCTAGAGAACTGATGTCCTTTGTGAAATCTACGTAGCTCAATGCTGCAGTGAACAAAGACTTCACTCTTGAGTTCTTCGGGCCCATGCCCAGCCTCCTTTAAACCTGTAATGGCTATACTCTTCAGTTTCTGGTCCCTTATCAGTATTATATGTCTAGTCTGTAGTAATGCTGACTGAATTCGGTGTATCAAGTCAATTTACAAAACAACACTTGTAACTAACCTTCTGGTGTTCTTTCGGTAATAAGCAAATGTTGACATGATCCATGCATAAATTTCATTTAACGTGATCTTTTTAGATAATTTTGAATTCATTGCTGAAACAATTAATGTAATATAGGAAAATGGTGGTTTCACATTAGGATTATTACAGTCTGTTGAACAATAGACTGGTAATGATCTATTCAATGATGAAGACTCTGATGATGGTGATACACCGTAGTCTATAGACTTTTTTATGTAATCATATGATTGTATGGAATAATTTGAAATTGGTGCAGAATATGGCTTGTATTGACATTTGAATTCATGAGATTTTGAATTAGTCAGGGAATTTAAATACTGTGAATATTTATTATGATAAATCGGCAAATTATTTGTATACTGTGCATCATATTGACTAGAATCTTTACAATTTAAAACCATCCTATCTTGATTTGTAAATGTATTATTATCAGATGATAAATTTAAACAACAGTTGGTATCCATAGTTATTTTATCCTCAGATGACTGTAATTCACACTCACTAACTCCATCATTGGGATTATTATTTAAATTATTTGTTGAACTTGTTTTAGTATATACAGGATAATAGAAACTTTGTTTTTTACGAGATGTTGAACATTGTACTGAGTTTTGTGAGTTGATATTTGATGGCAGGGATAACGGTGTTAATGCTGATGTTGATACTAAGGAGGAGTGATTGAGATTTTCATCTACATTATCATCACTGCTGGCCTCATTTGCCTTGAGTATTTCGTTTTCGTTTAATATATTAGATGAAAGGATTTTCGATTGTTTTTCAGGCATTCCAACTGTTTCATAAAGTCTGGAATGAAAATAATCCAATGATGATTTGGATAAGAGTATAGGAAGCTTTTGAGTATTGGGTGAAACATACTGGGTTAAATGATTACTAGTTACTGGAGTATGATTAGATATAAGGTTAGATGTGAAATAAGGATACGACTGAGACAAAGCAGAAGGAGAAGAGGAAGAATAGACTGAATCATTTACAAAAGAAGATGGATGATGATCAAAAGATTTAACATTTGCATGTTGATTATTGCTGGTTGGATTTGAGTTGAACTGGAATTCTCGAATCACATGACCAAATCTTTGTGCCATCACTTCTAATGGCGATTGTGTGACATAATTTTTTAAACATGTTCCTATATTCTCTGAAGAGTTTAAGAAATCTTTTGTTAGCAATGTGGAGTCCAATGGATCACTGGTATGGTTGTAATAATTTTGTTTATTTAAGGCGACATCATTCATTAATTTCCCATTTTGATGATTTGACCAGTCTAGCATTGTTTCTTACCAAAAAATTATGTTATTCATATCAGATTTAATTTATATATACAAATATATTAACAGAGATGAATGTGGTAATTTATCATCTATAAAAAAAAATGATGAAATTCCGTAACTATAATTCTTCCAATCAAACTTCTACCTTGTTTAGAAAAAATTTTATTTGGCCAATCAAAGGACAGCCGTAAAAGTGACTAATAATATTGAAGAAGCTGAAAAAGCGTATTCTACTCTTAGGGGAAAATTCTGCTTCCTAATAAAAGTGAAAACTTTACATTGAAATTCCAACTTGCAAAAGTTATTCCTGTTCGTCTTCTTTCATCTTCCTTCCATGCTTTCTATATTGCTTAACACAGATGTTAATATTTCAACTTCTCAGCTTAATCCATCGCTTCGCTATTCAAGATCCTCCCAGAAGAAATCACACAGACAACATACTACTTATAAGTTTTGTCAGTAGCGTAAGCTATATATATGTTCATATTAAGCAGGAGAATAAGGATTCTAGGCAATTCACTTGTTCTTGACACTGATGAACAACGACTGTCGAGTTCGTGTCTCAGTGGGAATACAATCACTTACTGGGATGAGGATGCATCCAACTGACGATTCTTAAATGCAGTGAAACTTAGATTCTGAATTCCACTGTTAACTACCATCAGTTAAATAACACCATTGAACTAAGCTTATCTGAAATATTGGAGAAATATGTTTTCACAGGGACTCAGATTCAATTCAGTGTTTGTTAAGACATCAAGCTATGTCATCCCATAGCCATCCACATAATATGTGACTCCTATTTTACACTACAAGGTATATAAATAGTATGACGAGCTAGTCTAGAAACCTGAAAGTCCTGGGTTCGATCCTTGGTATAGTTGTAGGTGAGCGCTGACGAAGAGTTTCAAACTAGGACGAAACGGCTGGTCAGTGCGGTGCTCTCTGGTTTTTCAATGATATTGATCAATGACGAAGCCTACACTAGTGTTCAATTGTTCTTGTTAAGTGAAACGCACGCGTACACTGAATCAAATGATACATGCTTATCTTTTTTCCACTAAAAAATGATCAACTTATGACTATTTCTTAGAAAAGGAAATAAAATCACATTCAAAAAGTAAATAAAATGAAAAAAAAATAAAACCAGAAATCCAGATTTCAAAAGTATTATTAACAAGAAATCTGAAAATAAGTGGAAATATCACAAGTTTTGAAATATTAGCATAATCAGAATAAAATTAAAGTTAATTCTGATACATTAGATAATATCTGAGAGGAAATAGAGTTGAACAGTGAGAGGAAAGTAGAAGTGTAAACGCAGTTAGTGCTAATTCCGAAGCCATGGGCTCTAACTCTACTGCGACCCGGTTGTCTATTTCATCTCTAACCATCACGTATCATATCAATAATCGTCTATTAAAAAAAAACTATTTCACATAGTCTCATCATTAAATCTCAGAAAGTCGTAAAACACCTGAGACTGGTACCTGATTAAAATAATAAAATGCATTTCTACAATCATTTGTGTATTAAATTGTTCGGTTCTAGGGATTCAACTGATTAATTCGTGGCAGGTATCGTCACGAATCGAAATCGACTGGAGAATCATTGAAAGCCAGAGAAGACTGGACAGCAGTTTCCTTCTAATATCAGACTCTTCATCAGTTCACGTCTACAACTCGGTCGGGTTGAGACTGAAAGCCTTCCCTCAGGTTACGGATAGAGCGAGCTAGACATTGAAACCACTGGATTGGAGTACAGTGATATCTGAATTCTAACTTTTGTCATTTGGGATATTGCACCAGCACCATACAACCTCATTGATTAGCATTGGTCCTTACACCTAACTTGATGAATTCGCATTATTCTAACAACAGCAAAGTCTTATTAAGTTCAATCATTCGATAAACGAATATTTGTAAAATGTGCCTCACTCATAAAATAAATTTTTAGTACGCATTATTTAAGCCCTGATTATTATTTGAAGAGTAATATTTATGTTTTAGAATTATGCTAAGAGTAAGCCGGTGTCATGAACAGTACAGCTGTGTACATACTTCATTTAGAAAGTAGTAGAATTATGCTTAATGTACTAATGTCGAATGTTAAGAATAGGCTGAAATCATCCTAATAAAGATTCCTGGATATCAAGAGCTATGAAGAATAAGAAACTCTTTTATAAACCCTCATCATAATATATTTGAAAGAGATTTTAGGAACTCCCTTTGGTGAAGACTGATCATTCGAGGTTGTGAGAACAGACCATAGACACTAGACAAACTATCATGTGGTGGTGTTTGTTATGGAGAAATCAAATGATTTACAGGCGTTTTCAGAATGTGAGATGAAGCAGAGACCAACCTCAAAGATTTCTTCAGTCTCTTTTCAATCGAATATGTAGTTTTAGTTCGGAAAAGTTTTAAATAAGATTTTAAAATTGTACGATGATTAATTCAAAATCCTTTATTATTTGATGAACCATTTGAAAAGTTAAGACACTTTTCTGCTAGAAATTTTTCATAGTTGATAACATCCCATCGACAGAACTGGTAATGTGCAAACTAATCGGCGTTTGGAGTTTGCACAGTTCGATGCGAAATTTCACCGCAGCTTCCTTTGGAAAACGAAATCATTCAGATCACCATGTATGATCCGCCTGATACCATAAATGACAGTCCAGAAAGCAAGTATAGATGCTTGTCACTGTATTATTATTATTATTATTATTGTATCCTTTAGTTCCTAGAGGAACATAGGGCTTCAGCTGCGCACCTCCATTGACTTCGGTTTTCTGACAACTTTTTCACCCTGCTCCAGGTCTGTCCACATGCTTTCATCTCCTCCTCGCATGACCTCCTCCAAGTCACCCTCGAACTGACGACCAACTCGCCGCCTCCCTTTCGGGTTCCACTCGAGCAATGGCTTGTCTAGTGATGTCACTTGATGGTTTCCTCAGCGTATGGCCAATCCATCTCCATTTCTTTCTGCCTATTTGTTTCACAATCGGTTCCTGATTGGTTCGCTCCCAGAGATCCCTGTTGCTGATCTTTTCTGGCCATCTGATCTTGAGTATTGAGCGGAGACAGCTGTTAATGAAGGTTTGAAGTTTGTTTGAGATGCTCTTTATGACTCGCCAAGTCTCTGATCCGTATAGTAGCACTGACTTCACATTGGAGTTGAAAATCCGGATCTTATTTTTGATGCTGAGTGCTGTTGACCTCCACACAGATTTGAGAGTAATGAAAGCTTGTCTTGCTTTTCCGATTCTGGCTTTGATATCCTCGTCAGTTCCGCCTGTAGTTGAGACGATGCTTCCCAGGTAGGTTGTCACTGTATACTACTGATTAATTAATATGAGTGTCACCTTACTACTCACATTTGTCAATCAGTAGTATGTGGCATCACCCTATTGACCAGCTTTTAACAAATGATTCATATAAACATAAGCAATACAAGTATAACATGAGCAAAATGATAAAATGCCTTCACACCTATTTTATTTTAATAAAAGTATACATTAATTAGTCACTGGGGGTGTGACCACTGTCGTGTGACTGGTCCTTGATAATGCTGACTGTGTTCTCTCAGTGGAGTTTGATACACGGTCACCAGGCTAGAAGGGGGTGGTGACTGACCATTTCAATAACTTTATTGTTTAAATAATCATTAATGTTTGTTTCTGTTTATTGTATATACATAATACAAATAACTCGGCCTAATACTAACTTCTAATTTCTGTTCTCTTTGTGTTGTTACTTGATTTATCGATATTCGGCCAAAAATGTTACACTTTAGGTCTCTACAGAATTAAATAACCTTAGAAAGCATCCTGTCAACGCGCTACCTTGATGAATAGCAGATTACCTTGAAAGATTTGATGCATGATGTTTGTCAAAGAATGTCCGAGATGACAAAATTTCAGCTCATTTTATTATTGTGATTCAACTTGAAGCAAACAGTCTACTGAAAAACTTTTGCATTCCCTGACAAGCTGATTTTCTTGTTACATGAGAAACTTCGTGGACTTCTAACAAATCATTTTCAAGTTACTTCTTTTGAAACACAAGACAGAGTGCAGTTCAGTAAAATTATTCATACTTCTCAGCAAAATATTCGAGACTTTATTTTTTGGCGTGACTTTGGTAATCAGTGTCAGTTACGTGATCGTCTGATTGCTAACATCAATTTTTAAAAGCTAGAAAATATGCTGTTCAAATTCATTTATGCACATTCCAGATTGCCAAATATTTATGTACTAATTATGAAGATGTCAACAGTGAATATCCGAATGGTTACCACTTCATCGCAGTCTGATGTAATATTGTCAGAAGTTCATAGTAAGACGTCAAGTCATGTTTTTCCTTTGGAGAGATTCACTCACAAAATGTTTGCCTTTTTCAAGATCCCAAGTTTTATAGGTGAGGTAAGATTAGGCACAAAAGGTCCGTCTGCAGAAGTTCAGATAATTTGACTACCCAGAATCAACATAATTCTTCCGATCTACCTTGTACGATGTAGTCTATATCACTTTCAGAGTTTCACAACGTCAACTCCCAACCAAGAACGTAGTGGTTTAGCATTAACACTGAGTCATTTTGAACAACTTTATGGTATACAATATAGTGTTCGTGTTGTGTTTATGAAAGAACTGTCACAGGTTAAATTTAATTTTTCTGAAGTAAAGAAATATTTACTTGAAGCATGAAGTCAGAAAGAAAAGTGTATACAACATCCATCAATTCTTGTCACCTGTGTGTACATTCATCTGTCCATAACTTGAATTAGAAGCTTGGTGCTGAACACTGCAAGACTGTTCAAAATCTACACCCCACGATCACGAAAATGAATTAATTAAGCGACTGAATGCGTGTATTAACTGGCCAATACGTAAATAAGAAAGCTAATTCACTTCAATGCTTAAAAAAATAGTAAACGTGAATTAGAATCACAATTAAGCAAAATAAGCATTCGTTCGAACAACATACTGCAGACCTAACAAAGCGTATGTTGAATACAAAATGAACGCAATA